CGAGAGGAGTGGGATTCTGGGCTGAAGGAGCAGGATTCTGCACAAGAGGAGAGAAATTCTCACCTGGCATCCACCTGGGCATTGCTCCCATCCCACTGCTGTGCCCTAGGGACACAGGCTGCAGCTCCCCAATCCCTGTATTCCCAGACGAGAGCATCCCAGCCAGGCAGACAGACATTCCCTGGCGCCTCAAGCAGATGTTGGATATCCTGGTGTACGAGGAAAAGCAGCACCCAGCGGGGGAGACAGGGCCATGCCTCGAGTACCTCCTCCAGCACAAGCTCCTGGAGACACTGGGCACACTGGGAAAGGCAGAGGTGGGTGTCCTGGCACTGGGAAAACCACTCCAGGGGGAAGGAACCAATCCAGAGCTGGAGCACCCACAGCTTTTTCCAGCTGCTTTGTGTGGTGCCACTCAGTAAACTTAATTTTGGAGCTTTTTTACTGGGATTGGGAGTTTGTGAAGTGTGAGATGGTTGGGGGGCTTGGCTTTTTGAGGGGAAATTTGGGGTTTTTTTGGAGAGTCTTGGATTATTTAATGTAAGATTCCCACTGGGATCTTTTCTGGGGCTCCTCTGAATGGCTCTTGCACCCATCACATCCCTGAGTGCATGGGAAGGTTTCTTTTACATATCTGGCACATCACTGCTTGGCTTGGTGGGACAAGGTGGGTTTGGAAAAGGAAATATTGGCCAAGTATAAAAAATATAACAGTTCTGTTGTGCCTTTGTTGCTGATAATACTAATGAGGCTGTGGAAATGTGCTGTGGCCTTTCCATAGCCATGAGGATTTAGGGTGCTGGGGTTTAACTCCCCATTGCTGGGAAAAGGGAAATAATCCCCCTGGGGTTTTCTGTGCAAGAACTTGGAGAACTGGACTCAGCTGAGTTCAGTCCCCAGCTGTTAAAGGAGGAGGAGCCCAGGGTGAGTAGGAGGAGCTGAAGGGTCTCTGTGGGTCTCTTAGCATCATTTTTGGGGGGGGAAAAATCCCTGCAAACTAACCCCAACCAGCAGGTGATCTGGGGCAATGACAGGGAGATCAGGTAACTGGTCTGATGCCTCTCCCCATCTCCTTCCCAGTATCCTCCTGGGATGAGGCAGCAGGTTCTCCTCTTCTTCAGCCGAGTGCTGGGGCAGGTACAGCACCCACTCCTGCACTACCTCAACGTCCACAGACCAGTGCAGGTGAGCTCCCACCTGTGTCCTTTGGCTTTCTGTATCCCTGCCAAGCACCTCTGGGAAGCAATGCCCACGGGGATGGGATGGGAGAGCCCTCAGCATCTCCTCATCCCTCTCCCTGCATCCCCAGAAGCTGCTCCAGCTCAGCAGTGACCACCTGGGCTCCAGTACAGAGAAGGAGGAGGTGCAGTTTGCTGCTGTGCTCTGCACCAAGATCCAGCAGGATCCAAGCCTGTTGCCATATATCCTGGAGGTGAGCAGCCCTCAGTTCAGGTGGGACAATTTGGGGTTCCTGATGGGGTTTGGCTTGTTTAATTGAGCTCCATCCCCACTGCAAAGCTCCTCGGGGTGAGGAGGAGGAAGGTGGTGGCTCTGATGCTTTGCTGCTCCTCTTCCTCTCCAGGGAAAAAAGAGCATCCGGGATAGAGGGAGAGCCCAGGAGCTGCCAGACAGCCCTGGGGAAGAGGGTGTGGAGCATTCCCCAGGCACCACTGCCAGCTCCTCCCCACCACGGAAGGACAGCAACCTGGTCACCTCCTTGGTGGGGCTGTGCAGGAGCAAGGTATGGGCAAAGAGGTGGCAGGAGGGGACAGCAGGCGCTGCCAGGCGTGTGACAACCCCTCTCTCCTCCTCCTCTTCCTCCTCACAGAAGAGCCGAGTTGCACTGAAGGCTCAGGAGAACCTGCTGCTGCTCACAGGGCTGGCCCAGGAGGCTGCTGCTGCCTGCCTGGTGCGGAGCAGTGCCCTGTGCCAGCTGCTGACAGGGCACCTCTGTGACCTCTACAGCGCCGTGCCCGCAGGCACCGACCCTGCTGACATCCTCGCCATGGACAGGGCCAGCTGGAGGTCAGGGGGGCACTGGGCAGGGGCCACAAGGTGCCACCGAGGCTTTGTCACAACCTCACCTCCTCTGCCCCGTGCAGGTCGCAGGGGGATGCTGCCAGTGAGGGTGTTTTCCCAGGGAAGGAGAGCTTGGCTGCCTTCCTGGGCTGGCTGGACTATCTCGATGAGCTGGTGATGGGTGCCCACCCGGTAAGGAGCACCCTGGAGGTTCTGCAGGGCATGGGCAACCCCTTTCCACACCATGCTCAGCCTTCTTCTTCACCTGCAGCTTGTGGCTGATGCCATCACCAAGGCTGTGGAGGAGAAGTTTTTCCAGGGCATCCTGCAGCCGCAGCTCCTGCAGATGTGAGTGCTGAGGCTCAGGGCAGCAGCAAGGGAATGTTTCATTATTCAGGACCCCTTTGGGGCTGGGAGGGTGGGGTTGCCCTTCCCTGCACCTCCTTTTTTCTCAGACACCCCTTGCAGCATCCCACCCCATCCCAGCAGGTCAGAGCTCGCTGTGCTCAGCGCCACAGCCCTGCTGACAGTGACAGTGAGACAGATCCGAGCTCCTGCCCTGCTCCACTGCCTCGTCCTCTTCCTGCTGGGGCCACACAGGCACCCCGAGACCCCAGGGGACACCCCCCACCCCCTGCGCTCACAGCTCATCGACCGCTGCAACCACCTCTCTGACGAGGT